CTGTATCACCCAAACTCACCTGTCTCGGTCTCGAGTGGACGGCCGATGGCTCCGCTCAGAATCCCGGTAGGAAGGTGCTGGGGAGGGCGACTCCCACTGAGAGCGCCTTGAGGAGCCATAGCCACTGTCGTCCTCCTCCCACGTAGACCTTGAAGGGGTGGCTGCATCTAGGGCCACAAAAGACATCCTCAGGAAACATCCAATTTCATCCAAATGCAGCTTCAGAACCATCAGCCAAAAGTCAACACCCCCAACTTAATTCTTCTACTAATTATAACCTGGCACAAATTTGTGATGATTACGATGGTTTTGAAATTTTTTAAAGATGTCTGAATTCAATGGTCTGGCTTTCATTCTGTGTTTATAACATTTAAGAAATACTCAATTTCTCGCTGCAAACATATCCATCTTAAATATAAATAGTCCTTTTTAACAAATCCTTCTTGAGCCCCAAGCTTTCTATAATTTCCTGCCATTTGGAAAACTAGCCATTGAGCAAACTGCCTATAGCAAGGAAGTTCATCCAGTTCAACAGAAGGGCAGGGGGCTGCACCCACCTGACTCACAGCCCAGTACTCTGGAGATTCACAGTGGAGTCAGGACTTCTGACTCACTGTCCTGGCAATCCTGCTGAGGATGAGGGCTGCTCACCTGCCATTCAGACACCTGAACTCTCACCAACCACCACAGAAAAGCACTGAGTCTACCTTTAGGCCGATGTCGTGGGCTTTCTGGTTCATTTCTTCTACTGCTGCGCTCTGAGCCTCCATCTCGCTCTGATCTGCTGCTGTGCCTACTACTTCTGTCCCGCTCATCTGTGAAGCATCACGTGCAAACTTTAAAGCCATGTATTGCATCCTAACATGGACACATCTGCACCCTGGAGAAAGGACAAGCCTCCCACTCACAGGTGCAACCTGAACTGCTCTCATGAAGTCCACGGGCTCCTAACACACATCCCCATTATTCCAAGAGGAAAAATATAGTTACTGGCTAGAAAGGTTCCAAGCTCATAGTAAGTTATTTTCCCACAAAAATTCAAAAAAAGTAGATACAAGTCTACAGTGAATAGTTTAGTAATAGTTACAAACCTATAAACTATAAACAACACTGAGCACAGCCAATGTTGGATTTTATGTCTAGCTTTGCCGCATGGCACCATCCTTTCTATTACCAATGCTATTATAAGCTCTGGTTTTTTTATCTGCATCGTCTATTATTTTATAACCAATTTTCATTAAAAAAAAAAAAAAAAAGCTGGGTACCAGTGGCTCATGCCTGTGATTCTATCTACTTGAGAGGCTGGAGATCAGGAGGATCAAGGTTTGAGGCCAGTCCAGTCATACAGTTTGCAAGACCAATCTCCAAAACAACCAGAGTAAAATTAACTGGAGCTGTGGCTCAAGTGATAGAGCGCCTGCTTTTGCAAGCGCAAAGCCTGGAGTTCAAAGCCCACTCCCACCAAAACAAAAACAAAAACAACAAGGACTGCACACTCAAGCAAAGCAACTACATTACAAGTAACATTCTTAAACTACATGCTAATTCCAATCCTAACAATCAAAACCACTCAAGCTGACATCATGCAAACAGGGTCCCCCAAGTAATGGGTATTATAAAAGTTTCCATGACAGGGAAAGAGCTAGCACATTTATTCAAAAAGCTAACAAGCAAGAGGAACTATGCTGGACAGCTTACCTCTGTCTCTCTTGCGGTCATAATCTCTATCACGTGATTTCTCCTTCTTCCGATCCTTTTCTTCTTTGGATGAGGCATAGACACCATGTTCCCGCCGATCCCGTTCTCTCTGCCGGCTGCGTTCCCAAAACTCTTCACTCACGCCCCCAGGATGAGATGGAGTCTCCACTCGAGCGGATCGATAATGCCTGAAAGAAGGAAGTCAGTTGATAAAGGGCCCTCCAAAGAAGAAAACATTTGCCTGGAACATTTGGCTTTGCCAAAAGGTGATCTGTCTGTTTCCACTGCATCTTCCTGATGCTGAAGGTTACATGTGGCAACCACACCAGGCATTTCTAACCTCTGTCATCTTCTTCTTAAGTGTTTTTTAATTCTCCCCACAAACCTGAACAAAATACCAATTCTTACCTCCTGTCAACATTACAGAGTCCTAACAAAATCACAAAGCACTAAGTATCCAACAAGAAAACTGAGAAACTAGGCTATTATTTTCTGGCCTCCATATTTACCGGTCTTTCCGACTACTTCGACCAGCCTGTGCATCGCTCTCCTCCTCAGCCTCCTTCTGATCATCCTTGTTCTCCTCCCAGTCCTTGTAGGAAGAAATTCTGGACTTCTTCTTGTCCTCCCCATCATCCTTCTCCTCTCGCTCCCTCCGTTTCAAAGAAGCCAGCAAGTCCAGTCCAAGCAATGAAGGGCGGGGAGCAGGGGCTTTGAAAACATGTTGCTCACTGGCTGCACTTTTTGTCTTACAAATAAGACCGCCAACCTGAGAGTCCAGATCAGTGCCTTCCAACCGATGGATCGAGGCATCCTCGCTGACAACCTCCATCACAGGCTCTGGGGTTTCTCTGCAAGGAAGACAAACCATTTGGTATTGGACATTAGAGAAGGCTTAGCTCTGCCATTTCAGAATAACTATAGTTATAGGTATATTTAGGTGATTAACCCTTATATCCCTCACACCAAGACCAGCGCTTCTTTCGCTACCTCTTGGCAAGATCTTTCCATCAAGTCACTGACAATCTCAAAAGACCCTCCTGTTCTTACCCCAACACATACCAAAAACACAGATATACAAACACACACCAAACACCAGGGTCCAAGAGGGTATCATGGAGGCAAGAAAAGACCTCACTACTTTCTCCAACACAATGGCAGAAAGAGAGTATAGAGAAAACTAGATGTGAAGTCAGAAACCTCAATTAAGAATCCAGGTTCTTGAGCCAGGTGTGGTGGTGCATGTCTGTAATCTCAGCACTCAGGAGGCAAAGACAAGGATCGTGAGTTTGAGGACAGCATAAGCTATGTAGTTAGACTCAGTCTCAAAAAAAAAAAAAAAAAGCTTAGGCTCATGACATTTTCTACCTCTGTGATGCTAAGCAATTTAATTTTTAATCATATTTTTAACCATAATTGAAAATTAACTTTTAACCATAATTTCTATATCTGTTTTACCTAGGCCATGGAATTACTGTGAGAATCAAACAAGAAAGTGTATGCAAAAACACTCTGTAGCCATAAGGACTTACACAGATGACATTTTATCTGCTATGTTCCTATATACAACTGTGTTGCTCACCAATTTGTTGCATGAGTTCTTCTACCTCTCACTCCATTTAAGCCACAGGTACAGCAGAGTAGTGATAAAAGCATATACGGCTACCATCCTCATTGTACATACTTTGGTGGGTTTTCTTTTTTCTGCATCACTGGTGTTTTGTTAAAAAATTATTCACAGCAGTCAAAATTGGCTTAATAATAATTCATGTTTACCAATATATATGAGAAATGTTAAGTTAGGAAATAGTATTTACAAAAAGCATTTAAGAGACGAGAAGATTTCCTAGAGCTCATCTTGCAACAAATTCCTCTTTCCCTACCACTTCTTACTACTCACATACACCTTTGGTCAGCCCTTGGCTAATTCCCCTCATTCCAACAAGGTAGTGAAACACAAGAGCTACTGATGGGGTAGGATACCTTCAGAAGCCAGATATTTTTTGCCAAGTTTTAGTTAAGATATTCAGCTCTACATGGGAGTATTGCAAGCTGAAAGATGAATGCAGTAACATAGTTGCATTTAAAAATGTCATCAGACAGAATAGAAAGGAGAAAGCTATATTCTGGGGACAATACATGTGAGACAAGAAGACAAAGATGTACAGGATCCCCTCAGCATCCACTCTATACAAGAGGGAGAATCTTGTCTGTCTTGTTGATTGTAATAGCCCAGTGCATATAGCAAAACAAACGTTTGATGAGCAAATGAATGAATATGTGTAACTTAACTAAAGGACAAGAAGTCAAACATCTCTAGAGATGGCAAGAAAAGGTATCAACAACACAGAACAAGGAGTCTGACAGGAGTTAGCTGGCTGCTGAGATGATTAAATAAGGAGTCAAGGTGCCAGATTCTGGAGAAAAGATTCCTAGCAAAGAGGTCAGAGGGCAAACAGAAAAGCAATGAAGTTAAACCTGGGCTTACTCGGTCAGCAATTACTCTGTATGCCTTTTGAGCGAGTCGCTGTTCTCGGCAAAAGAAATAAGGAAAAAAAAAAATCCAAGCATCTTGGAGCTGACAATCTCCTACAGATCATCCACCAGCTCGTCTGATGGCGACGCCTCCGTGAGAGAGAAATGGGAAGACACGAGGAGCCTTGCTCGGGCTCGGAACCTGGCCGGGAGCGGGCGAGAGGGCAGGTCAGCATCCTGAATCTCCGAGCAAGGAGAGCCGGAGAAGGGGGTTTGGGCACAGCATCCCTCAGGGGAGTAAAGTAAATTGAGTGACAAGGACAAGAGCAACTTCCCAAACTAGGGCCCAGACCTGAGCCGGGAACCGACACCGGCCGCCTGGAGCCGCCGCGATTGGCGCAGGACGGAACAGGAAAGAAAAGGGGACACTCACCTCGCCAAGCGCGACTCTTGGAACCCTCTGTTCCGGATTTTGGGGGAGCCAGCGCTGCCACCCACCACTCAGACGCCTCAAAGAGCTAAATTGCGCTCCTTGAAAGCGTCCATTATTGTCCCATATAGCCCTGCGCGGTTCCCTCTATCCGTCCACAGATACCATCGAGAGCAGCCCAGGAAACAACAGTTCCTGGATCTAAATATAGGCCAGAACGCGAAAAGGCTCTCAAAGCTAGAATGCTCTTTCTCACGGGCACTTCCGAGTCTCCTTACGACCAATCACGCTTATTCTAAGAGGCAAAGTCCCGCCTCTAGTCTGTGGGCGCGGGGAAGGGAAGTCGGCCATGTTTGATAATGGCGGAAGTGACGACAAAGCTTCCGGTTAGCGTCAGGTAAAGTGGCGGAAGACTAGAATCTCTTCTACTTGTTGGACTAAGTGGAACTTGTGACAACAGCTTGTTCATTTTCTCCGTCTGTGCGTTTGCCATTTCCGTTTCGATACCCCCTAGTGATCCGACGAGGCAACAGCCGAAGGTTACTTTGGATTAAGGTCGCTTGGGGAGGCAGAAGGGGGAGGCCCGTGTCCTGGCTATTCCGGGATATAGGGGTCGGGGTTGCAGCCTGCTCTGAAGTGGTGGTGACCGGGGCTAGTGGGTAAGAGTCGTCCCGGGCTGTTGTGGGCTAGGTATAGCGTATAGCCCAGCCACGGGCATCTTTGTGTGTATATGTGTGTTTATTTATGGGATATTTTAGAATATCCCACAGTGTACATTCCATGTATTTTGGAATAGAGACGCGTGCCCCCACGCAAATAAAAATCACTCGTTTACAGACAAATAATAATGTTTTGAGATATTTATTTCCAGATCTTTCTATGTAAAAGCATATGTACTTTATAGTTAGGTTTTGTACAAAAGTGGGATCGCACTTTATTTACTGCTTTATAACTTTTTTCTTTAGTGACTGTATAATATCCATTGCAGGACGGTACTGTCATTTATTTCACCAATCTGTTGATGGCATTTAGGTTGTTTCCAGCTTTTTACCATAGTAAACGTGCTGAATATGCTATGTACCTAAATGTATATTTGTCTAATTATTTACTAAGAATTAGCCAGGACTGGTGGTGCATACCTGTAATCCCAGAACCAGGGAGGCTGACCCAGGAACACCTCGAGTTTAAGGCCAGTCTGGGCTTCATAGTGAGTCCCTGCCTCAAAAAGACAAAGAAACAAAAACAGGACTGGAGTTACTCAAGCCATAGAGTGCCTGCCTAGCAAGTGCAAAGCCCTGGGTTCAAACCCCAGTACCACCAAAAAAGAAAGAAAGAAATGAAGGAAAGGAGGGAGGAAGGAAGGAGAATTAATTCTCAGAAATGGACTTATTGGTCAAAGAGTGTGTCAGTTTTCTTTCCAGAAATGTTTTACTGTCTGTATTGCAGCAGGCCACAAATGCTTGCTCCTATATTCACACTCTTGCTGTTATTGTGTATTACTATCTCGTTTAATCTTTGTCAGTGTAATGCTTGTGAAGCTCAACTATCCAAATGTATTTAGTGTACATTTGTACCTCTTCTTTTGTGAATTCTCTGTTGATTTCCTTTGCTATGGACATTTTCTTAGATGTGGTCTGCTTCCCTCTCCTCCTTCCAACATGTGTCTAGTCCCACCCTGGCCTCTTTGTTCACATTGCCTCCTCTTAATATGTAACCTAGAGAAGTTGGTGTTTTTGAAGTGCAATGTTGAGATAGATCCATATTCCTTTTTAGTTTCTCTTCCATCAGTAGTTCTGACACATTTGACAAGGTCCTTCCTGGCAGTCAGTGTCCCTATTTAAAGTGTGACCTATTGCTGGACAATTTCATTTCCTCTATGAATTTTTATTAATTTGTATCTTCAAATGTGACTTGTGATCCCAAAAATATATAGATAAAGAAATACTCAGACCAGAGGTGTGGCTCAAGCAGTAGAGTGCCTGCTTTGCAAGCACAAAGCCCTGACTTCAAACACCAGTCCCCCCGCCCAAAAAAAAGAAAAAATTAAGAAATCCTCCTGGGCAGATGGCTCAAGTGTTCTGCCTAGCAAGCACAAGGCCCTGAATTCAAGCCCCAGTACCACCAAAAAGAAAGAGAGGGGGGAGAGAGAGAGAGAGAAAAAGGGAGGGAGGGAGGGAGGGAGACAAGGAAGGAGGAAGAAAGGATGGAAATCCTGTCTTTTATAGCATTAACAAACTTTGAAACTGAATTCAAAGGTTCAAGTATTTCCCTGGAGTCTCCCATGGATGCTCTTAATAAGCTCTTTGATCAAGGAACTTCTCATATATGAAATTTCTTCCAATCATAAAATTAGCTGGGCTTCTGTTTTCAAAGGAACACAGGACTAGAAATTTGGTGGCCTAGATTCTAGTCCTTGTCTACAGCTAGAAGTGTAACTATGAGCAAACTAGTCTATGAAATGAGGGGCCCAGCAAAGAGCGATAGATTAGGCCCCTTCCTTCTCAATATTTTATGATCCATTTATTTAATTGTACTTTTCACACACTCCCAGTTGATCTCTTTGCCACATGATGAGGTGCACCTAGTAAGATATGCCCCAAGAATTTTTAACTAGGGCATGTGAGAATACAAATGTACACTGCTTAAAAGTACGCACATGCATGAAATAATTTACTGCTGTGACAGAATCTGGAAGTTCTCTATATAGAGACAGGGAAACATCTTCATGTTAGGTTAAAAAAAAAAATCAAAGTGCAGAAAGTGTGCAACTGAGCCTCTGCCATTTACCCCTGCACAGCCACTCTTTCCCCTCCCCAGACTGCTCTGGGACTTGGGGACCAGGCAGTGAGCGTGGCACTCTGGCTCCACTTGGAGTCAAGCAGCAAGAGCAGTGGCAGAGCAGAAGGAGCGAGGAAAGGGCTTCCATTGCCTCACTGCATGCTCCCCTCTCACCCAGGCACCTCCCACTCAGCTCACTCTACCACACAATTCTGGCAACTTCTGCCACCCATGGCTCCTCCTGGCCTACAAATGGAAACAGCACCCAGCTGTAACTAATTTTTCCTTGTTTTCTTACATCCTGCCTTAATTAACTCTTCATATTACCAAATTTCAGGGTGTCATCTCTTCCCTGCTGGGCCACTAATACCGTAGGCCATCCATTAGGTTTAAAAGAAAATATCAAACCCCACATTTGTACTTTCTTGTGACTGTACAACGAAACTCTGGGAGAGTTGTGAGAAATTAAAGCAGCCACTTGGTATGGGGGGCAGGGTTATGGGGTAGGGGGAGTTGGGCTCAAGATCTGGGGTAAGAGGAGGGAGACTTTTCACAGCATACCTTTGTATAATTTTTTTAATCACATGAATATATTGCTACTCTAAAAGTTAAATATTTTAACTCGGACTTATGCACTTAATCTGAACCATGTTTAAACATTGCATCTTCGTTTCAGCATTGATAGTAGGGATTAACGTTTGGATTATTTCAAGATGAGCTTCCTCTTGCCCAAGCTGACTAGCAAGAAACAAGTAGACCAGGCAATAAAAAGCACTGCAGAGAAGGTGTTGGTTCTCAGGTTTGGGAGAGATGAGGATCCTGTCTGTCTGCAGCTTGATGATATTGTAAGTGAATTTTTTAAATAAATGGATTTTATTTAAAAATCTGTCCTCAATTCAGCATCTACATGGTGCTTGAAAGGTAGCATGCAGTGTAGCTGGTTTATTCATTAGCACACTTTCACCGAGAGCTAATTGTGTGCCTGCCATGAGCTGAACCCCCAAATCCATTGTGGTGAATTTGTCCCCATGGCCTTCCTGTCAGGAACTGTCATAGCTGCTTCACTGACAAGGGAGTGGAAGAGCAGAAAACATTACCAACTGTCCACAAATGTCTTTTCAGTGCTCACAACACTAGCCCCATGTCCCAATGGGAGAAGTGAATGTCAGGGAGGTCAAGGAACTTCCTGCTGACCCAGATACGGATACACTAAGCTGCATTGCAAGGATAGAACTCAGTTTCTCTGACTCGGTACCCTTCTCATGTACCCAATGACAACTTCTGATTTCACAGCATGCCACACTCAGTAAGGAGGAAAGTTATCCTTGGTTGTATCTTTGTCTCTATCATAGACAGAGACTGAAGCAAGGACTAAGACCTCTTCCCCCTCTTCAAATGTTCTAAAACCCTCATTATGTGGTTTTAGATAAGGGTGTAATGTATTGTCCCAGGTGGAAAACGACTAGAGAATTAGAGATTTACATCCTCAGCTAGATTGAGGAGCTATCACAGAGGTCAAGAGAATAGCTCCACGGTACAGTGCTTGCCTAGCATGCCTGCAACCCAGGGTTTGAGCCTCAACGCTGAAAAAAAAAGAGTACAGATACTGAAGCCATGCTGTCGAGGTTCAAATCCCAGCCCTACTGCTGAGGCACTGTGTGCTCTGAGGCAAGTGGCTGTACCTCCTCGTATGTAAAAGGAGGACGCTAATAATCTGGCCTCATAGGAATCCAGTAGTGATTACACGTGCTAACAAGCGTAAGGCAGTTAGCACATAGGAAGTGTCTCGTGAGCATTTGCTATTATGATGATCGTGTCCTGGACGAAAGAGATTTTGGAGTACTCCAGAATCTGTATTATGTGTTTCTGAATTGTTTGAAGTGAGTGTGTTTTGGTTTTTTTGGTGTTGGGGATTGAACCTAGGCCTTGTGCATGCTAGGCATGCACCTGTATCACAGAGCTACACCCTTTCAGTGAGTATAGATTACTTATATAGAAACAATCAAACATGGGCAGAAAATTAAAGGAAAAAATGTGTTTTCCTGGGATGTTTTTATAACCCTGTCAACAATAATTCAGCTTCTGAACAATAAAGTTGCAGTCTGTCTAATGTAGAGCACACTGGGGCTAGTTCTTGGCCCAGGAATTTTCTCAAATTATATAGTAAAAAGTTTTGCAGAAGAAACATTGGCTACCTCTTACATTGTTTGGGGTTTTTTGCTTGTTTTGTTTTTGGCTTTGTTTTGTTTTGTTTCGAGTCAGGGTCTTGCTTTGTAGCTCAGGCTGGCCTTGAACTCATGATCCCCCTACCTCAGTTTCCCAAATGATGGGATTATAAACCTGTGCCACCATGCCCAACCAGCTACCTCTCATACTGTAACCTCCATCTCTCTTGTTATTCACAGCTTTCCAAGACTGCTTCTGACTTAAGTAAAATGGCTGCTATATATCTCGTAGATGTGGACCATACTCCAGTTTATACACAGTATTTTGACATCAGTTACATTCCCTCTACTATATTTTTCTTCAATGGACAGCATATGAAAGTGGATTATGGGTAAGTTAGGTTAATTTTGAAGTTATTGCAATCTTGAAGCAGGTTTGGTAGCTCACCTATTTGCATGTGGTGTTGGCTCTGTGAGTCTTGATAGGTTAGTATTGTCTCCTCTATTTCTTTATGTGAAACTTTGGGACAAAATGACAGTGTTTCAGATATTGTTGGAAAATTTTAATTTCCACCTTAACTAAGAAAGAACAGTATTGTTTGTGAAGCATAACCATCCCTAAGTGTAGAAAATAGAGAGTAGCTGTATTAGTTGAATATGCCATATAAAATGTTTCCCAGGAATTCTATTTGAAACCAAATACATGGTTCTTAAACTTTTGACACTATTAGGTGGCATTTATAAAAGAAGCATTCCTGCCAGCAAACTAAGGTACACTTGTCTTTTGCAAAGTGTCTTCTGGTACATAGAGTACTTTGAAGTCACTCTTCAGCAAGACCTGTTAAAATAAATCACATGAATTCCCTGATGCTTCCTCTTCCTTCCAGTCAGCTTCCAGGGCTGAGTGTTTCTGAATGCATTCATAACTCTCTATCATTTCCTGCTCTGGTTAGGTGTACCCGCTATGTCACCATCTGTTTGAAAGTGAGTGAAATAGCATTTGTTCTAAAGCTGTTCCTTTTCCTGGAACACAGTTAATGTATTCCTTTAGTACAACCTTCCTAGAGGGCAGTTTATGACAGTATGTATCAAGCAACTTAAAAGTGTTTAAACTTTTTAACCCAGTAATTGCATTTCCAGGAATTTAGTATGTTGTACGTGCACATTTAATGACTTTGAAACAGATATATGTAGAAGAAAAGTACTTTATTTGATAGTTTATGATATCCCATTATCATGATAAAAGAGATGCAGACATATAAGATTGTAATAATAGTACCAAAATATGACTTCTGGCTTTTTTGGCATTTTTAAGTAATTTGTTAATACCCACAAATCAGAAGTATAAATGATGAGAACTTGGGAGTCCATAACTAACTAATGACTTTGCACAGAGACACCAAACAAACTATGCCCACTCTAGTGCCCAGTGAATTCTATATAAGAATGATTTGCAAAGTGCTTAAAATAGATTTTGAAGCAGAATCCTTCACAAGCCAGGGCCTTTACATTAGTGGCTCTCAGGGCTGATTTTAGTTATGTGTTGTATACCAAGTGGGAAAAAACAAGTATCAGGCAAGATGTCGAAAGGCTCCCAGACAAGAAGAAGATCATGAGGCTGCTGCTTACTTTTATCTGGCAAGCCCTAGTAAGTACATGTGAAAGACCCTGAGAGCAGCTTTTTCTCTTCTGTGCTGTCTAGGTCTCCGGATCACACTAAGTTTGTGGGAAGTTTCAAAACTAAACAAGACTTTATAGATTTGATTGAAGTAATCTATCGGGGAGCCATGAGGGGAAAACTTATTGTTCAAAGTCCTATTGATCCCAAGAATATCCCCAAATATGACCTTCTGTATCAAGACATTTAATGAATTCACTATTGGCTGTTGGACATGAAGAGAAAGGTATGGGTTGAAACGGTACCTGAATCCCTTGGTGCTACATTCTGGAGTCCCTTGGAGGTGTCAGCATCTCAGCAGAGAGGGGTTCGATGTGTCTACAAGACATCCAGCACCAAGCAGAAGCCTGTGTCGGTGCTCCAAGGTCTGGATGCCTGAGCATCACTCCCTGCCAGCCTCAGCACCAGTTTTCCCAGGGTGATTTTTCTAACTTCCCTTTATACTGTGCTTTCTGTATCCCTCAAGATAATACAGAATCCTATAAACATTGCAGATACAGTTTTAACCAGGTTTAATTTAACCGTGTTTGTCTGGTGCACAAGTAAAATGGAAAGTCAGTCCCGTAAGAGCAGAAATACTGGGCTGGGGGTGTGGCTCAAGAGGTAAGAGTGCTTGCCTAGTAAGTGTAAAGCCCTGAGTTCAAACTCCAATTCCACCCAAAAAAAAAAAAAAGCAGAAATGCTTATTTTCTACCCTAAATGTCTTTGCACAACATGTGAAAAACACACACACACACACCCTCACCCATTCCTCCATCCATATGTCCCTCCAGGCCCTATTGCCCTAGTTCCTCTTGGAATAATTCACTTCGTACTAGTAGCAGGAAAGTTCATTTCATTTTTGAGTCCTTCTGACTCAGACTTTCAAAACACTGTCTTGGTTGGCTCATTTAGCTAGTTCCAGGAAGTAAGAACTTGAACTATTACCATCCAGTACCTCAGCTTGGGCTAAACAGAATTGCCTACCCTCTGAAGTAAGGGCAGATCTTTCCCAGAAGATGGAGTCACTGGTACAAAATGACAGAAAATTATACTTCAAGGGTGCAAGACTTAAGGAGAGTCAGAATGGTCAGGAAAAACATCGCCTTCATGGGATTTGCTGCTTTTAATGACTTGTGGCATCCTTGCTCATGCAGGGTGCACCTGGCACAACTATTGCTTCTCTCAAGACTCCATGGTGGCTGCTGGGCCTGATGCTTTAGAGAAAATGGGCGCAGCTAGATGGCAGTGGGCATGGGCGCAGCTAGATGGCAGTGGGCCAGGCAGCTTGCAGAAGCCCAGTTCTGTCACTGCAAGTTCAGCCCCTTTCCCCTATGCTTCTTTGCAAGATTGTCTTCAGGGAGAGGTGACCATGGCTTGGTTCTGGCTAATGTGGCAAAGAAGAAAGACTGCTGGGAGCTTTTTGTATCCTTGGCTAATAAGAGGAGAAACTACTCCAGGAATAAGACAAAACCCTTTACTGTCACCTCTATCTTGACTTCTAATTATGATGATTGGAGCCACAACAGCCATGTTAGTCCTATGAGGCAACCTGCATCAGGATGAAAGATTTATATTCTGGGAAGAACAACTAAAAGAGCCTGATCCCTGATGTAATTGAGCTCCTGAGTGAACTCTAAACCTGTCTCCTTCCAGATTTCTATGAAAGAATAAAATGGCCTCTTTGCCTAACTTACTGTTAGTCAAGTCCTCTGTTCTTCACCCTAAATCACAAAGCATTTGGTGTGTAGTTAGTGCTCAGATATCAGAAAACTCATAACTTACATGCTTCAAATTCTCATGTCGTCTCTCCCTCTAACAGATTTAGGGAGTCTTTCTGAAGTCTGGATTTATGTTTGAGATCCTACTTTGATTGTTTTCTATTCCACAAATACTTGTTGAATATGTGCTAGATGCTATATAAATACAGATGATTCTTGGGCAGGGAGAAAGGTCTCAGAGAATGCAGTGTCTGAATCTTACACGGGAGTAAGAGGTACTGGACAAAAAAGGGAAGGGCATACTGGCAGAGGGAAGGACTGGACAGGGCAGGAGGAGGTCAGAGAGCAACTCAGATTCCAGTTGCCAGAACCCAAGGTAGGGCCAGGATGGCAAGAGGCACTGCTGGTGAAGAAGGCAGAGAAGACAAGTGATGGAGAAAAACAGAGGTTTTCTCTTATTATTCCCTCCAGGAAAGTGACCAGCAGCCACTAGACACAGAAAAATCCTCAGAACACTAGGGTGGTTTCTTCCTCCAGAAAACTTAGTGCTGATGATACTCCCAAAAGAGAAGGTATGACTGCACTATGAGCAGCATTTCATAAGGGTTTGACTATATTATTTTTCAGTTTCTGGCTGTTCCTTCCCAGGTTCTAGTTTATAGGTCTGATCTCCATTGGTCCACCTGATACCTGTTTTAAAGTATCAGTGGATCTGGAGCTGGTGCATGACATCACAGTGAAGGCCAGATCCTAAGGAGAGACTTATGACAGCAGTGGCTTTTACACCAGGAGAAAGAGGCCCTGCCTTTGGCATGAAAAAGAGGTAGATGAGTAGAGGGTCAGTGTACCGAAGGCTTAAGGCAAGAAAGTGGTCAAAGAGAAGTTTTTCCTCGAGAGCCCCACGTGGGAAGAACACCTGCTGAGACAGATCTTAACTCTGCAGAGTTTGAAGCATTACGGCTGGTGGGGATGTGAGAAATCTGAACTTCCCCTCGAGGAAGAGCTCTGGAACTGACAATGGCCAGGGAGCTTAAAGCACTCTGCAGATCTGTGAGCTGAGCTGCAAGTCAAATCCAATACATCTTTGTTCTGCCTGATTTTGTTTCCTGGGGCACTGGTAGGTTGGAGCACCAACAGTGAAAGAAATGTCAGTGTCAAAACATTTTTTTTTGAATCCCACTTTGTGCTAGCATCTTCCTCACCAGGACTGCACCCTTTCTCCTAAGCCACTCGAAGAAGCAACAGGATGCACTAGAAAGAGCTCAGGGTTTGCCTCCAGACAGGCCCAGGTTGAAATCCAGCTTCCTTTTGAAAGAGCTGTGTGACCTTAAGCAAAGCCTTTCGCTGCTGAGCCTGTTCCTCGTCTAAATCAGGGGTAATAATTTCCCTCTTTGAGACCACGCACTCAGCAGGCACTCAACCAATGAGTGCGGTTCCCTAGGGTAAAAACTTGTATGACCTGAAGGATTTCCTGCCATGCTCCCAAGCATACTCTTCCCTGTACACAGGGAAGAACAAAAAGGCCCCATGTACAAATGGCATAGAAATGAGTCCAAAGCAAGCTCTTTATTGACTAACTCAGCAGTGCAGGGATGGCACCATCAGCTTCATATCACCTCTTATCACATCCACTTTCCCCTCTACCAGAGTGGAATCTTGCTCTCAGGCAAGGGCTTCCAGCCTGCCCCACTGAGAGCAGACTGCCAGCCAACCTCACCTTAGTTGTCAGCTATGGTTTTCTTAACCCAGTCCAGGATGGAGGACACCTTCACATACACACCATACTCGGCCACTGTGCAGCTCTTATCAAAGCTCAGAATCCCAGCTGCATACCAGGTGTCATCCTCCAGGTCGTGAACTGCGAACGCACTGCCAGCATCACCATAGCAGGTGTCTTCTTGGTACTTGGACATGCCGGCACAGAAGGTGTGCTCATTGAGAATGGGCTGCACCCCCACAGGGCTCTTTGGGGTCTTCTCTTCGGGCACTGTACTGCCCTCATAGTGCTTCTCACAGTTTTCTTGCTCAGCCACAGGTAGCATAACATACTTGAGACGCTCAGTGAAATTAAAGTTGGCATTTCTTCCCCAGCCAGACACATAGCCCATGCGTCCCGTTTCTGTGTACTCTTTAGAAGACAGGCAAATGGGCATCACTCGCTCGTTGATGGGCACCTTTTGCTTGAGTTTGATTAGCCCAATGTCCACCACGGAGTGGTTCGGGTGGACGACTACCTTCTCAATGTCCACCTGCTGCTTTCTCCCCACATAGAGTTTCAAGGTTGGGGCAATGTCCTTTGCGGAAGCGTCCTCCGTGTGATTCAGGAAGAGGTTTTTGGCTGTGGTCAGGAGCCATTGTTCATTGATGAGTGTGGCCCCCGTGGTGAGATTGTGGCGAGACACCATCTTCGCCTGCCAGGGAAAGCTACCTTTGGCATCCAGAGACCCACCGATGATGCGCTGCACCTGGTCCACCGGGTGCTTGGGCTTGCCACACACTGTCAGGGAGAGCAAGAATCATGAGAGAGGCCAGGGCTGGGGAAGATGGGTAAAAGCACTGGACATTGCTGCTGTCTATGCTGCCCTTGTCCTTTTTCTTTTCAGAGCTGGAAGTATTCAAATTCTTCATCTCATTTCCAGTGTCTGGAGCTTAAAATGACTTTTTTCTTTATTTATATCAAAGCAGAATTCTGTCTCCTGCTTTCCTAACTCAGAGAAATACATAACACTGAGATGTTTAATCCCTGGCTGACAAACTGCATGTATATTTAAACCTCACCACCAAGGATCTTCCATAATCCTGAGTCTCACTGAAGGAGCTGGGCAAGTCACTCTCTGAGGGCCCTGCCCCACAATGGAGTGAAGTCAGATTTTGCCCCACTGCCTCCAAGGCAGGTCAGCAGACAGAGAACAGTCTCTGCTCCAGAGGAAAGGGCAGAGCAGCAGCTCTTCATGACAAAGTAGATGTGTCAGCCCGTCTCCAGCCTTGTCCCTCTGTGGGTTAAGCTTTTGTTATGTCCATCTTTTCCTATTCTTCCTGGATCTCACTTTGCCTGGGCCCTGGCTTTCTAGGCGGGTGCTCTGTGTGCATAGGGTCTCCAGTGGGGGCAGTGGGGGCAGCATCAGCCAAGCCTTCAGGCCCCAGAGAACATGATGCTCACTGGGCTCTGTGGGGACTCACCTCCTCCCCCGCCAAGTCTCAGTCCCACTGGCTGGAGTTCTCCCTGATCCCTTCTCTTGGCTCTTGTGTACTCAGAGGAAACCACAAGGGAGGGACATGGCTCTGTGACATTCCAGCATAGATGCCAGTCTAGACAGTAAGCCCTAAGCACTCACCTCCTTCGCATTCAGGAAGTTTCTCTCCAATGGCTTCGTTCACCCATTGCTTCTCACTGTTTAAGGTGTACACTCCTGAAAAAAGGGAAAGATGAGCTCAGACAGAATTCAAGCCTGAACCTAAGACAAGGCTAGAAAATATCTGAAGAGAAGAATTAAGAAGCCAAGTGGTACACACCTGTAATCTCAGCACTCAGGAGACTTGAGGCCAGAAGATCACAAGTTTGGGGCCACCCCTATATAACTATCATATACTAATAAAAATGTTTTTTAACAAAAGTTTGAGGCCAGCCTGGGCTACATAGAGAGACCCTGTCTCAAAAAAGAGAATTAAAAAAGAGGAAGAGGACGGTGCAGGGAAGAAGAGGAGAAGGGGAGGAACACTGTACTTCAGGTTCACTTACACCCAGCAGGACAGACTGTGGTTGTGGCAGTCATAGCAAGACACAGATAGAGGTCAGGGTTCATATCCTGACTCGACCTCTCACAGGCAGTCTGAACTTGCACAAGACACTCAATCTCTCTGCAGCTCAGTTTCCTCATCAGAAAAATGAGAAAGAGTATCTCTTCAGAGAGGCGCCGTAAGAACCAAGTGAGCTTTAACTCAATGTGTAGAGCTTAGAAAGCACCATGGAGGTAGCGCTCACGAAGTAAGGGTTACCGACTGTCATCACTCCTTTTCCCATCTCCTTTTGTACACGTGGAATTACTCTGCCATAGGCGGCCACATGACACTGCCTCTTCGTAAAGATAAGAGTAACATTGCTAAAATAGTTTCTGCGGGGTATCGAGGGGGTGGGAGGGAGAGGGAGGGGGCAGGGTGGGTGGTAAGGGAGGGGGTGGGGGGAGGGGGGAGAAATGACCCAAGCATTGTATGCACATACGAATAATAAAAAAAGTACATTATATACACGTGTAGAAATGTCATGATGAAACTCCTTACTATGTACAATTTAATATATGCCAATAAAAAAGAATGCAAGCTAAAAAAAAAAGTAACATTGCTAAAGAACCACCTACTGGTGCAAAATTTATTGGAACCTAAATCTGGCTCCAGGTGGCACACGTGCACTTTCTAGCCAGCCACCCTGGCCCCATCCAGTCACAGGAACAGTAGGGAAGGGTCTGTTCAGGGAGGGACAATTGTCCAGGCCTCACCGTCTCCTTCAGTACGCAGTCTGTAGTATGTCTGACACCGATAGCGAACCAGGTGCTCCACATAGCCATTTGCAATCTCAGGGGGCTTTGGGCAGCTGTCATCTGCAAAGAAAAGGAATCAGAGGAGGAAATTAATGTTCAGAAATTGCTCCCAGGGCCTATAAAAGATGAGAGGAACTGTTCTGTATGTTAGCACCCCTCCACCCGAATGGAAGCCCTGGAAGGGCAGTCTCTCCTCATTGCTAGGGGAGAGGAGGATGGGCGGGGGGAGCTTGGGCTTCTCTGAGAGAGTGCAGGTCTCATAGGGTGAAAGCAGGACCCAGCAGAGCCAGGATGCCCAGCTCCTGCCCACACTCAAGGCCTACCTGCAATATCCATGGCATCATTGCCCAAGTCCACAGCAAAAATCTGTCCCCAGAGGAGGAGGGCAATCGCAGCTGCCAGGGCACTGCAGAGAGATACAGGAAGGGTTGCACAGCTGGTCTCCCTACTCCACAGTGTGTGCGCACACACACACTCACACACCTTCCATTAAACAGCCAGTAAAGTATAGATTACATGGAAATGCTAAGAATGGGAAGCTGCCACCACATACACCTGACTGCTTCTGGGTACCAGGTCCCAGCAAGCTCTGTGCTGCTAAGAATTCTATATAAGCTTTCAACAGGAACCACCAAGACGAGAAGACATGTGGCTAAGTGGGCCTTGATTTCTGGCTGTGTTAGAAACACTGAACTGGCAAGCAAAGAGTAACCTCCCTCAGACACCACTGAGTTCCTGGGTTACAAAGACACTGTTGGCAAAATGTAAATGAGATGAAGATGCTAATATGACGTACTATGCTATCTTCTCCATTTTTTGAGATTTCCACAATAAGATTTTTTAAATTTTTAATTTTTTTTTCAAGACAGGGTGTTGCTGTGTTTTCCAGGTTGGTCTTGAACTCCTGGGTTCAAATGATGCTCCAGCCTCAGTCTCCCAAGGTAGCAGGGACTATAGGCATATACCACCATTCCTGACTTAAATATATAATTTAAAACATACATGGTTGTTTCTATTTCTTGTGATCATTTGTCTTTAAGAAATGGTATCTCAAAGCCTCCAGAATGCTAGAGGGTTACCTGGAATGGAACTTGCTTCCTGAAGGCATGACAGTGACTGTGAACATGAGTGCACAGGCCACACTTACCAGGCAACCATGTTACCAGCAGGCATGGACTACTACTCAGAGAGTGCTGATACTAAGTTTCTAGTCTTGTAATTTCAACACTTATGAATCTTTCTATTTTGATAAAAATTGAGGTGTGCATAATTGTGTCACTAAAATGTGTTGCTATTTGTCTTATTTAAAAAGAAAAGGTGGGGGCTGGGGCTTACATAGTACATACAAGGCTCTCGGTTTGATCCCCAGTGCTGCAGGAAAAATAATTGAAAGGAAAAATCTGATGTAATCAAAATGCCAGAAAACTGCTACATCCCTTTTGAAGATGAAAACTTTGTGAGTTCAAGGAAAACATCCTCCTTAGAGTAGATCCTGTCTCCTGGGAAAGACAACACTGGTTGAAAGTACCTTTTCATGTATGCAAAAAGGAAAGGACCTAGCCAACACACTAGTCCTTTCATTCACTACAATTTAGCCACTTGCCTGTTTCTTTGCCATATCTTTGCATCTCCCTCATGGGCTTCTCCTCTACCAAGTATGCAAAGGAGGAGAATGAAATAAGGGGGAGGAGCACTGTGGACTCACCTCATCTTCATCCTGTCTTCCTTCGTTAGGGCAGTGCTGTGGAGACAGCTGCTGAGCCTTTTATGCCTCCAGGTCTTACACCACCTGCTTCTTCATTGGTAATTCCTGTGTTTACACAACTTCGGCCTTGTGAAGGTCACTGGCATGTTCTAGTAACAAAACCACAAACCAAACTCCTGTCAAGAGTGGAGCTCTTGCTTCACTCTTGGCTTTCCCATGGTGTTGTTTTACAACCCCTGAAGAAATCTGGCAATTTCATGACCCTTTGTACCTGCCAAAGTGTTTCCAGAAATCACTCGGGCAGAATGGGGTGGAGGGGACAGCCAAGCTCTGGAGGGTTTTCAGCATGGAAAAAGACCTTTCCTTGAGTTATTTCAAACTTGGTGGAGACACTCTTACAGCCGAGCTTCAATTGGGCTATAAAGCAGTTTTTTTCACAATCATTTCCCCATCCTGTGTGGACATCTTAATAGATGAAAGGCCTCCAACCTGAAATCAGTAAACTATGATTATCATGTCTTCTTTGATTGCTGTTTGTAAGAAATCACACAAAGTGGTTAACGCTGTAGTCTAGACTGGCACAGATCTTTCTCAATAGCACTGAGTAATTAGTCCAGTAATTACTCCAAATACGCAAATGAGAAAATAACATTTCAGTATCTGTGTTTCCTAAGTATTATTCAATTAGAATTAGCAACTCAAAGATGGTTTTATTCATTTAAAAAAGCCAATGATTCTTAAATTATACTGTACAAAGAAACACTTGGGATATTCATACTGAGAACCATGAAACAGCAGAGCAAGTGGAAACAACACAAATATCCATCAATAGGAGAATAGGTAAATATTTTGTGGTATATTCATATAATGGAATACCATACAGCCATGAAAACGAATGACCTTGTAAACACAATTTTTGAAAGAAAACTGAAAGTTCCAGAAGATTACATTCAGAATGATACCACTCTTGTAGAGCTAAAAGCCAAGCAAAATTTGGCAATGGATTCTTAGATATGACACCAAAATCTGAAACAACAAATGAAAAAAAAAAGAATGAATTTGACTTCATCAAAATTAAATTTTGCGAATCAAGACAATATCAACAGTACTCAGGAAGCTGACGCAGAAGAATCATTAGTTCAAGGCCAGCCCATGCTATGTAGCAAGTTCTAGGCCAACCTGGGCTACATAAGGAGATCCTGTCTCAAAAAACAAAAAAAAAAAAAAGAAAAGAAAAAATATCAATAAAGTAAAAAGATAGTCTACAGAATGGGAGAAAATATTTGCAAATCTTATACCTGCTGAAGGGTTAATATCTAAAATATACAAAGAACTACAACAACAAAAAGACAACCCAATTAAAACATGGACAAAGGATTTTAATAGATTGTTTCGCAAAAAGAATATATAAATGCACATGAAAAAACACTCAGTATCATTGAAAAATGTCAAAGGGACAATGTACAGTAGTGTCAGACACACACCTACTGGGATGGCTATAATATATGTGTGTGCCTGTGGCTGTGTGTGTTAAGTATTGACAAGGATGTGGAGAAATTCGAGCCCTCTATTCATTGCTGCTGGGAACATAAAGTAGCACATCCTCAGTGGAAAACTGGTGCTTCCTCAAAGAGCTAAGCGTGTAACACCCATATTGCATTTCTAGAACTGAAATCAGAGACTTGTACACTGACTTTCATTGAATCATTTCCACACCAGCCTAAAGGAGGAAATACTGAAGTGTCCATCAACAGATGAATATAGACAAAAAACACGGTGCACACTTGCCATAGAATTTACCCAGTGAAGGAGCAGCTATGCTAATATCTGGAGGGAGAGCATCCAAACAGAAGAACCACAGTTTTGAAGGCCCAGAGGCAGGAGCAGACCCAGAGTGTCAGTGAAACAGCAAAGAGGATGGAAGCTTTCTCCACGCTCTGACATAACCCCTCCCCACCAAATGGATGAGGCTCTCTGTTGTTTGGTGTTCATCTTACATTGGCCTTCATTGGCTGCCAGTGTGCTGCCACCAACATGACAGGTGCTGTGAGAGCTGAGGCAAAAGCAAGAATGAGTGGTGAGGAGCACAGCACTGCCTCTCCAGGAGACATACAGGAAACCAGGGCCTGCTCAGCATTCAGGCCTGTGAGGTGACAGAGGAACTCTTGATTGACACAGCAGTGTGCTTTTAGACTGTAAACCATAGTAAGATGGCCCACGAGTGCCTGTAGATATCTTTATGAAGAAAATGCAGCTACTCTGACAGGCCAGGATGGAAGAACGTATCCTGTGCTAAAGAAGTAATGTTTTTGTAGTGTGAGGTGCCTTATTTTTGGGAAAGGGTCACAAAAAGACCTTACAAGATTGTATATTGATTTTAAAACCTCAAGTGGAAAAAAAACAGAGGTGGGGGGAAGGATAGAGAGAAGGCTTGCCTGCCTTGTTTCCTGGGTGTTGCTGCCTCAGTGGCCACCTTGCCTTGACCAGTCTCAAGCACAAGTATGAGTTAAGGGTAAACATTTTGAAAAGAAGAGTATGTAACTCAATTTTTACAACCATGTTTACAAAAAAATAAGATCAAATATAAAATTCATTATAGACTGATCAACATTATCTTATTTGAAAATATGGGACAATCTTCACTTAGAGGTATTATTTGTTTACTGTGAAATTTTAAATGTACATTTAAAATTTTAAATATACTATTTTTTCTCTACTTTCATTACACATATGTGTTGTTTTTCTGTAGCTCACTAGGCATATGAATAAGTCGTGATAATTACAGGATAAGATTTCCATGTTTGATTCTCTTGGAAAAGTGGGACCATCAGCTGGTACCTCTCAGGGACAAACCCAGGAATCTAAGTGTTCTGAATGTGCCTAGAAGGTGATATGAACAAGACCAAAAACACATCATTCCTGTTTTATGAAAAACGCTATGTCAGCCTTCTGCTGTAACCAGCCAAATGAAAGAGCTGTTTACTATAACACATCAGACCACTGTGTGGTACTCTGCTTTAATATTTATTCCCTAGCACCTGTTCACAGAGAAGATTCTGGAGTATTTTTAAAAGACTAACCTTTTACTAAGTGCAGTCTTAATAATAAAATTATTCTTGAAAAAATATTATTCCTCTATAAAGAGTAATGAAGTTGATAACATGCTACATGAATAAACCTTGAAAACATACTGCATGAAAGAATCCAGACACAGAAGAACAAATTTTATAATCCATTTATATTAAGTTTCTAAAATAGGCAAATTCACAGAGACAGAAAGTAGATTAGAAGCTGCCAGGGACTGGGGGAAGGGGATGGAGTTATTGCTTAACATAGGTACAGAGTTCCTGTTTGGGGTGAGGAAAAAGGGTTTGGAAACAGTGCTGATGGTTACACAACATTGCTGATGTAATTAATGCTGCTGAATTATACACTTAAGGGGGAAGAAAATCAAGTTTTAGGTTTTATGTATATTTTAATCACAACAAAAATTCAAGAAATAGATAATAAATAAATTTTTTATTAGAGAGTTAAAAAAGCAAGCAAAGTTCAGCAATATATTGTACAGATGTAGACACCATTTGGCTATCTTGTGCATTCACAGCCTGCTTGACCTGGGTGACTTTTATGAGGTCGCCAGCAGAAAGGACCCAGCCTTATCCTAAGTGGACAGGCAAGTTGGGACAAGTGAACAGAGCAGACTCAGAGTGCCCAGCCCAGGAGAGGGAGTGCCATCTGATGGGGCATGAAGAGCAGAAAGCTTGAAAGAACAAAAAGTCAGGATGGCTGTTAACAGAGGAACTTGAAGGACAGAGTTTGATTTTAGAAGGAAATTTTATTGTTCATTCTGGGGACTGGGTGGGGGTTTGTAATTCAGTGGCAGAGCACTTGCCTAGCATGTGCAAGCCCCTGGGTCCCATTCCGAGCACTGAAAAAAATGTTTATTCTGCCATTTTATTTTTTTTCTTGTTTTTTTATTCTGCCATTTTAAAAGTCTTGAAATTTTGCAGGGGGTGGGGGCAAGGGGGAGAAATGACCCAAGCCTTGTATGCACATATGAATAATAAAATAAAATAAATAAATAAAAGTCTTGAAATTTTGCAAGCTACAGAAAATTAAAATTGAGAAAAATTCCCTGTATTATAACCACTCTTAACACTTTAGTGGTACTTCCTTCCAGATTTTCTCTGTACACATCTTACATAATTTTGATCATTTTTATATAGAATTTTGCAGTCTGCCTTCTTCACCCAGTGTTGTAGGCATTTTCCATGTTGCAGTAAACTCTAATAAAACATTTTAATGCCATGTACTTATGGATATATTATACCCTCACTATTGGGAATTTAAAATGATTCTAATTTTTCTGTAATAAATAACATAGATACACACAGATAAGTGAGGCAGGGGACCAGGCTCATTTTATTCCATTTGAATGTACAAGTGATCTAGCATCTTTCACTAAAGGCACCAAATCTTAAGTGTTCAGTTATTTCTTTATGTATAACACCTGTGTAACCAATACTCAGATCAACTTCCAGAATATTTCCGGGGCCCCAGAAGACTACTTTGGGCTCCTTTCCATTGATATTCCACCCACACAAAAATAGCCACTGTCCTGCCTTCTTGTTTTGTTTGTTTGGTGGTACTAGGGTTTGAACTAGGGCCTCATGCTTGTAGGCAGGTGCTTTCACCACTTGAGCCACTCCACCAGTCCACTATCCTGCCTTTTTTATTTTTTTCATCATTTAGAGGATACTTTATTAGTTTCTGTATCAAACCCACATAGATAAGACCTTACAAATTTAATACAGTGCATTACCCCTGTACACATGGAAAAAGGTAAGTTTAACGTTTCTAGACCGACATGGCTATTAACTTCTGTACAATGCCAACTCAACACAGTAAACTGGGGTACTTTTTCCAAAGTTGACAGCACAGCTAAAGTTTCAAAAAATTCATATATATATATATATATATGAGAGACAGAGAAAGAGAGACCAATAATAGCAGTATGTTATACATCAGTGGCAGTGGCAGCAACAGCTTTTCCAGGTTCTGCAGTCATCTGAACAAAATTGTAGAGACATCCG